GCATCCTCTGCTGACCCATGTCGTAGTAGACAGTCATTTCACGAGCAAAATACTCTTGGCTAGCAGGGCAGTTCTGGCCCCAGTCTTCGAGCCGGTCCGCCACGACTTCGTAGCACTAGGGCCGGCGGTCATCGGCCTTCCAGCCTTTGGCCAGGAACCTCTCGATGGCGCCGTCAACGGCCTTCTCAGCAGCCCTTTCAGAATCCGCCTGAGCCCTCGCAGCGTCCTCGGCCCGAAGCAGGGCCTCATCACGGCTTCTCAGGGCTTCATCCCTGGCTCTCAAAGCATCGTCCCTATCGGCTGCCACCTACCGGTAGGCCACGTCGGCCTCATCAACCCCCTTCTGCAAGGCCTTCACCTCCTCCCGGAGATGATCCAGGTAGGCCATGGCCTCCTCGGCCGAAGTGGCTTTCTTCTCAGCGTCCTTCAGGCGGGCAATCTCCTGCTCCTGCCGTTTGTGGCTCTCCATCAGCATGAGAGCGCCCTGCAACAAAAAGGAAAAATGAAGAATGAGGACGACGCCAAACCCATGACACAAAAAGACGTAAAGTATGAAGAACTTACTTGGACGATGAGGTCCATACCGCCATCGTAGATCCTGACGGGACCCAGCCTCTTCAAATAAGCCCGATCCTCGACCGGGACAGCCTGGGCCAGGACATCGTGGCCGTCAACGGTGTCATTGAAGACGCCACCCTTCACGGGATACTCGACCTCGAGCCTGTAGATCCCACCGGCCAGCTCCTTGCCGGCCCTTTGCTTGCGGGGCTCTTGGCCGATAGGCGACGGCTAAGATAGGACCGCCGAAGAGGGGACCGAAACCACGTCCACAACGACAATGGCATTTGAGCCCCCGGCATCATCATCCGGTATGGCCAGACCTCCAGCACCAACATCCGCCAGAGGGGAAGCCCTCTTCGACTTCTTGGATTGCATGCCGGCATCGGTAAGTTTTTTCTGGCCGTCATCAGCAGGCCGCTTCTTCTTCGGCTGCGTTGGTGGCTTCTTCACCGCATCAGAGCTTGGTTGGGCGCCGCTCGCAGCGGCCATCTTTGCGGCCTCCTTTGCAGCCATCTCCTCCTTCGCCTTAGCTTTGTCTAGGGCAATGACGGATCTACGATCCATAGTGAAGTCTGCAAAACAAGGAAAACAAACAGTTAGCAAAAACAAAAGAAAACATACACGAAGACGCCATGGAAGGTATTACCATCGGCGTCAGTAGGAATGACCATATCCGGGCCGTCAGCCTCCTCAAAGGTGGTGGTCATCTTCGGCCACAGCTCGATGTCACTTTCCTTGTCGCCGTACACATGATACCTCATGAAGCCGAGGGCGGTCATCTTATACTCTGTAATGTAATGTTTCACGCTCCTCGGCCCTTCCTTAAGAAATGCCGCTACCTGGGCATCCAAAATACTGCTCTTCGGCACGTCGTGAAGGGTGAACTTACCGTCATGACCAACTGAGGGAAACTCCGTGCTGTCCTCACCCAAAGATACGAAGACGAACTTGCTCTTCCAACCATGAATGGACGAAGGGAGGTCAGTGAAACTCCTCTACTTTGGCAGCTGTTGGAGATTAGCATTACCAGCACAATTTTTGTGGCTCCCTCGGCCGATCTGGTACAGGTTCATGAACAGAGCCGTCGTCGGCCTAAAAGAAATAATAAGTAATGGCAGACTATAAGAAAATTTCTTCTAAACTGGAAATAGTTCCAGAATCGGCAGAGCTGCAATTAAACTGCAATTAACTAGTTTCTAAAACAAATAATAAAATCACACACAAGGCTGGCAGAAGCCGCAAAACTGAATCCTGGAGACTAATAGCAGACTAAGAGAAATACCTCAGTCCTCAGCAGCAGCTGGAAGAACCGAAGAAGAAAGGAGAATAACTCAGTCTTCAGCGGCTCAGCAGATTGGCATCGTTCTTGGTTGTCACGGCTCTGAATAAGAATACCTGGAGTCTTCGAACAAATGGAATCGAGCTTCTAAGGAATGGAAACTATCCTAATTCGTAACCCTAAGTAAACTAAAACTAAAAAAAATATCGGCTCAGCTTTGACCTACCCGTCGCTTTTTGTGAGAGGCGATTAAAAGCGCTCGCTTTTTGCGCAGCGACGCCTCAAGGAAAGGCGGAAAAAAACGACGTTTTCTCACAGGGGTGCGCTTCTGTAAATCTTAGCGATAGGCCATCGCTAGCCTACGCTTCACGCTTTTTGTCGCTTTATTTCGCTTTTAATAAGTTTGGTCTGAAGCGTAAGGACTTTTCAATTTGGCCAGAACGACCAAGTCAAAAATGGTCTTAGCGAATAAGTCATATTGTAAAATAAGTCCTATGTAAACACGGGTATATAGCTGAGTAGCTGACCGAATAAGTTGTTTCCATTTAGACCATTAAGTCGAAAGTAAACGCCCCTGTAGTGTTACGGATTAGTGAAATACTGAGTTAAGGTTCTGCACGTAAATTCAATCAATTTATTAGATAAATTGAAATCCCTATACATATTTTGGCTTCTGGGGTTGTGAAGATATGCCAGCGCATTTACAGTGCTACAACCTTCATCTTAAGATTCCAAGTTGTTCCATCCAAATCTCTTTCCCACACTGTCTCACGCATAGACATGAACTTTATTACAACAAAAACCATCTGGTCATCTCCATGTCTTGCTGGCATGCATGCTTGCAATTTCAATACCTAAATGAACAATAGCAGAACAAGGACCAGCAGTTTATACCAAGATATCAATACATAAGAAAAAATTGCACTTTTAGTCCACAAGGTATATCATTGGTACACTTCTAGTACACAAATTGCTAGTGTCAACATTTTCGGTCCTCCATTTCCCTGAAGTAGCTATTTAGGTAGTCCTCAATTACAGTTTTGAGATTGAACACTAAAAAGGTCATTTCGAGAAAACTTAGACTAAAAATGCAGAGTTTGTGACATCACATACCCGGCTGAAAGTCTAAGGGGTATAACTCAGAGACAAAGTGTCATGATTCCCATACATAATAACTATGAACTGTGGAAGAGAAATTGTAACTAAATTGTTGTACTAAATTTTTTCTCTCTCAGTTACTAATGGGGTGAGGGGAAGTAGTTGAGTTAGCGACTCAACTTTAGAAAGGGCTTTATGTTATTTTTAATTTGATAAGATATATTGTAAGATTACATATCTATGTACAAAAGTACATGGCTGTAAAGATAAATCATACACTTCAACAATTATAGAATATTATCATCTCCAAATATTACAAGCAGTGTTCTAAAAATCGGCCTAGTCGGACCGATTAATCGGTCTAGTCGGCCTAGTCGGTCCTAACGGTAGAGGCCTAGTCGGCCTAGTCGGTCAAAAAATCGGCCTAGTCGGCCAAAAAATCGGCCTAGTCAGCCGCCTAGGTGCTAGACACCCCTCAACCGCCCGACTAGCGCCTAGCAAGTTTTAGAACAATGATTACAAGTAAAAAGACAATGCAAGAAACATTTACTCTTATGATAAATCTGGACTCTAAACACTTTGGCTATTCTAGATACTACAGACCAAACAAAAAGGGCCAATACTAATGAAACCCAACCTAGAGGGATCCAAATCATGTTTAGAATTTGAACAAGAGTGCAATGGAAGAAGGGTACCCTAAACATAAGCCTATACTATGAAGCCCATATGTGCATATAAATATCTAGATATACATGATAAAAATACATGTTCAATTATTTAACTACAATAAAAACTACATAGTAGAAAAAAGGTCAGCCGAAGGAAAAGTACCTGCTGCAAATTGACCAGGAAGGTGTAGGACAGGTCAAGATAAGTCAAATCTAAAAGCCCACATAAAGACAAGAGCCCATCAGACCCAACTGATGGGCATGACATTAATAATAATGACTTGATGAGAGGACACAATTTTGTTGTGGCAGATAAGCCGTCATCCTTAAGTTGGCTGCACAAAGAACCAAAACAAGCAGTTGCATCATCAGTATGATACACTGGGGAAAAAGTTACTAATAGCCTAAGTAGATTCTAGAACACTCCGCCATAAAATGCAAGTCTTTGTCTGTTTGTCACTGTAGTGTGTGTATCAACTTTTAATAAACTTTTAAATAGCTTTGGTGAGAACTAAATGAAGAAAAGTAGTTCAAACTAGACTAGGTAAGTAAAATATACTCGCCTTAGAATCTGGTTCCCACATTGCAATTTGAACAGACACCCATTGATGTGTCAAACTAATTTCCTTATTTTAAAAATAAATGCACAATAAACCATTGCAGCAATTATCAAGAACAGAAATGAAAGTGTCTTCCCAACGTGGTAAACCTTCAATCGTAAAGTCCCTTAATGAAAACAATCAATCCCATGCAACAAGAATGTAGTCCCTCTATATGTGAGTGATCTGCTATGGGTGCCAATGCACCATAAATGGCCTTGCAGTTCAAGGTCTCCTTTCCCTCCGGCTGTTTCCCATATAAACTTAAACAACCCCAGGGCTCGATCGAGCTGCTTCACTCCTCTCAAAAGCATCTTGTCTTCATATGATGTCAATATTTTCCCCATGCAAAGGCGGAACTTATCCCCATGACCAACAGCGTATAGTCCCCCACGAACTTCTACTTCAATATCGTTTACGCTACCATATAGATAATAAGTGAGAAGTGTAAATAAGCACCGAGATGAGTGGCCCAGTCTCTTAGTTAATATCTTTTGTACTAAGCTTTCTTGATGGCGATTTTCCCTGTATCCAATGTTTTTATCTATCCGAATATCCCTTATCTGATACAGACCTTCTTTCATGACCTCTATCTTCCTAATATCTAAAGATAATTTTGATACCTCACTCAAGCAGTCAGCAAGATCAATTAACATCTCAAGAATGTCTTCCCACTTGTGTGAAGTTGGAGGTGAATTGGCATCTCTTGTGGGTGCAACTCGCATCCATGAACTGGAATCGGGGTTGTAAGAAATGGCAATGTCCAAAACCTTCAGACAGCTCAAAACTATTTGTTTTGCCATTTTAGTTTCTTTACTAGGGAACTTAGAATCCAAATACTCCATCTCAGATTTCAACTTATCTAGTATCACCTCAAGTGCACCAGTCCATATCTGATGTTGAGTTACCTGGGGGCATATCGTTGCCCTGACTACCTTCCTTTGTTGAGCTGAAATATTCAAGATCTCAGAAACCTTTGTGAGTGAATCCACAGTCATTGGTTCTCTCTCACCAGCTTGATTGAAACAAGGAAGCTGCTGGTTCTCCTTTGCGTTGCTCCCTAAAGACATAATAATATTTTTCCTAATGATTCCTTGAACAAAAGGACACCCAATAAAATCTCATGCTAGAGACTTAAAAAGATGCATGTTTTCTAGCAAAACATCATCTCCAATTATCGATTCATCAATCACATTAACAGTCCTACCGTTAATGACATCCACATTATTCAGCAAGTGAGATAACATTGATAGCTTTGAGAAGGCTTTTTCATACCAATCAGACGAAAAAGACTCCAACTTCGGTTCCTCCAAGCAGTGGTACGAAATGGAATTCATTCTGATCACAGCATTCTGCCTGGCTGACAAAACCCTTGACCCACAGAGGAGGTTTTTCACAGCTCTCATTGCTATCGCCTAACAAAACTTCACAACAATAACATTTCTACGAAACCTGCTTCCACTGAACCACCAGAAGCTGGGTTCTTCACTATACAGTTCACCATCACATTATAATCATACTTTCGTTCACCTCCTCTGTGGCATTTCATCGATCAGGTGGCGTGTGACTAACAGACCAAAGATAAATTGAAGCTTCACCTGCTACTACAAAAAGTGTAGAGATAACTCGAGTTGGAATAGGCCAAGAGGTTGGCGTCTCGAACTGGCGGCTGGCGCACTGCGTCAGAGTCGCCGGCACGCTGAATCGCCGGTGTCCCGGGCTGGCGGAGTGGCGGGCTGAGTGGGCCAGTGGCTGACCTGAGTCTTGAGTCGAGAATTGAGATTGTCGAGAGAGTTGAGATGGCCGTATGTCTCTTAGTTGGCCCGGCTGGGATTCAATTTGGTAGTATTTTGGGCTGGAGTTTTTTCTATGGCACTGGGTTTATTGTTTTGGACACTGGTCCATCACTAAAATTTTTGGTGGAAATAACCCGTTTAGTACACTTTTTTCAATTGCATTTCATTTATGTCACCTAAAAATTTACTTTTCAAATATAAACTTCTGCCTTTTAACTATTCATCTTTTTATTTCAAAATAACAAAACCTGAATCAAAACAGCCCTAGAGATCGGCAATCTGGCATCCTTACGAAGCAGAAGCGTATGCGACGGCTCTTCTCCTCCTACCTAGATCTGGCTTTTCCTCCAGCTCCGCCCTTTGCCCTCCGTCTTGTGCTGCTTCGTACTCCGCGATCCGACCTCCGTCCTATGCGGCTTCTCCCTCCGCCCTCTGACCTGATTGGCTTCACGCTCCGCCCTCCGCCGGTGCTTGCTTGGCAACTTCGCTGCTTGCTGAATCACGGCCTAACCGCCTGCTGATTTCCGATTTTTAGATATGTTTTTGAGATTTGCATGTATGTGTTTGAGATTTTTTATCGTTATCATTCATTGCAATTTTGTTTTAATTTATTAAGGAGTATCTTCTTATATGCTAAACTAGTTTGTTTGTTTTTAGAACCATGACTCGGATTAAGTTTTTGAATTAATTATTATCTAAACTTATGGATGCACTTTCCAGTAATGAACATGGAGAGATTTTTTCTAGTAATGAACATGGAGAGCTTATTTTGTTCCTTGTAAGTAATATGCCCATGAATGGATCCTTTTTTGTTGGGGCAGTTTCCTATTAATACAAACTTCTAGTCGGTTCAGACTACATTAATTCTATCGGAATGAATTCAACAACTTTACACTGATTTTGTACAATACGAGGATGGCTTAACACTTATAGTTGATTGAAAATAGAGATTTGTTTTTGTTGCTTCAGATTTAGGAGATGCTATACTTCTGAAATGATTTTTTCCTTCACGCTTGTTTGGTTAGGGGACTTCATAGGGGACAAAAGGGGTGGAAAGGTTTTTTATTCTACTAATTTGTCCCTATTTTTCAGTCCCCTTCGGAAGGGTTGCTAGCTAGTTTTGAAATTTTAATCCAAACTCTAAACTAACGAACTCTAACACATATAAATGAGGTGCTTTGAGAAAAGATAGACGTAGTTGAGCATGAGACAAGGGTGCTTGATGGGTTGTTCCATTATAGTCAATTTGTTTTTACTGTGGAACCCTTCTTTGGTTTATTGTGCATTGGAGATGTTGAAGTGTATGTCTAGACAAATTATTATCTTTAGAATGATTTTAATTTGGTGTATTACTTCTAGTCCCAACTTTCAGAATGTTATTAGCTTAATCTATGATGTAATTCTTGTTTTAACTGAGGGAAGTTTTATTGAATTATTTGTTGATTATAAAATGATTTCTTCTATGTAATTAATATCAAGTTTTGTATCAATATTTAATACTTATATTATCGATGTATATACTTCATGGTAGAGATGTACGTGTAGTTCTTGTTACTTGTGCAATGATTACTTGTTAAGGGATCTTACAATATTAGTTAGTGGATATGTTTCTAAATTTTAATGATGTCAATATTGATTGCACTAATACACATCTTACTTTGTGTGTTAGTATTGTCTGATCTGGTCTGAACTAGTTTGATCTGGTCTGATAAATGTTCGACCTATGTGTATTCTACTATTTTATAAATATAAAGTGTGACCTGATCTGATTTGTTTAAGTTTAATTTGATCTGATCTGATCTAAGACTGAAAACCGTTAAAACAAAAGTTTTATCATTCCTTACATGTCTAAGCAAATTATTATTTGAGTTATTTCATTCATTTGTTACATGTCTAAGCAAATTATTATATATCTTGAGAAGGGTATATAATTTGTTAGTGGATTTGTTTCTAACTTTTTAATGATGTCAATATTGATTTCATAATTTAAGTTGACCAAACTTGGAGAGGAAGATGTAAGTTATTAATCCTTCAATTTTCTAATTAATTCAATGGAACAACTTCTCGTGTGGCATGCGGCACTCATGTAATACCAATTAATTAAGTACTACGTATCAATTAACAATATGTAAGCCTATGTCCATATATATTAAGACCAATGGAGGCAGGTAGGATAGAGGTGGGCAAACGGGTACGGGAACTGCGGGTCGGGCTGGGTAATACGTGTTCGGGGTGAGGCGGGTTCTTAAAAACTTAGGAACCGAACGGGTACTAAAATTTGAAAAACGGGTACCCGGATCGAACCATATCATTTCAAAATATTATTTTAATACTCTATTATATTTAATATAATATACTAATAACACCCGAAAGCTCTTCATGTTCTTGCGTCTAGACAATGACACTCAATTGAAGAAACTTGTCAATCAACTAAAAAGAGTTTCCAAGTTCATATAAACTCCTAAATATTTTCCCTAATTCGTTATTCCAAATGCATCAAATTTTCTTTCTTCAAATTTTTCTTTGTAAATAAAGATTGTTACTCAATGAAGTGCGCATATTCATTTTAGGTGAAATTCACAAAAATAATCTCTACTTTTAGGGATTCTATAATAATAATCTCTACTGAGAGTATTTATAAAAATAATCCGCACTAGCAATAGTGTCCACAAAAATAAATTGATGTAAATTAAAATTATTTCCCATTTAATTCTCCCAAATCTTACCTCTACTTTCCCCTTCACCACTCTTCTTTTCAGGTAATACTTCTATCTTCTTTCCTAGAAAGAACTACATATGGCGGAAATGACATTCAAATTAAACGGGTTTTAGTTTTAATTCACTTCGATAAGAAGAGCGGTGAAGAGAGAAGTTAGAGTAGGGATTGATAGTATTAAAAGGACATCATTTTGAATTCACCTCAATTTATTCTTGTAGACACTATTACTAGTTAAAATTATTTTTATATACAATTTGAGTAGGGATTATTGTTATAGAATCCCTAAAAGTATAGATTATTGTTTTGAATTTCGCCTTCATTTAATAATCTTAATTTTTCTTATACTTTGAAATGTAATAAGCTTTAAATTGTTTTCTGGAAAAGCATGACCAGCGTCCTGCTGCGGCTGCAACTCTCGGATCATTGTTCTCGATCAATATTGTGTTTTTATGTTCAAATGAATTTATTAAGATTAAGAATAGTGTGCATCCTAGTTCATGGCTTCACACAAAATTTATACCTAATTAAAGTTCTCCAAGTTTATGTAACTTCAATTCTAACACCATTTTAATATGCTGTGAATTATAATAATTTTTCTTATTGAACTTTTTCATGAATCAACCTTGTTCTATTTCAAGTTTAGATTAAAGTATCGGATATATCATGATTAACTTCATGTTTACAACTCACATCAACATTAGAAATTTTTCTAAGATGTAAGAAATTTTGATCATACTATTTTTCGGATTATCAAGCTTATCAACCTGCTTTTTCACCAAACACGTAACTTTTGATTTTGCGCGTTGAATTGTGTAATAATTGGAAAAAGTAAGGTTTGAGTTACTTTTCGGGCTGTATTGGCTAAAGTTACTGTAGAAGATCATTTTAGCTATTTTTTATATATTTTATTAGTAAAAATTATTTTTAATATATTTTTCATAAATCAGCGGAATCAGTCAATCCAACTACTTCATAACTTCATAAAGGAAGTTCATTTAGAAGCAAACGTAAATAAATAATAATCACCTAGTCAAAATGGTAAATGTTTAATTATAATTCTGATATCATAAGGTCATAGTGTTTGGATCCCAATTCATCAGACCGCCTAGTGTAAAATAAAGAGAGAGAGGGAGAATCGCAGGCCCAAGAGAGTGCATCCGGAGAAGAAAAGGGGATGGGGGAAGAAAGAGAGAGAAAGGAAAGAAGAAAAAATTAATACTCCCTCGCTCCCTCCGTCCCGAATTGAATTGCAAACTTGACCGGCACAATGATTATGAAATGACAATAAATGATGCTTGCTTTTTACACTTTTGCCCATCTTTCTAAAAGTAGATGCCTTGAAGTTAATGGGGAAAAAGTATAAGTAAGGGTAAATTTGTCACTTTATTCTTATTTACATACCTAAAATAGAAAGTGGAAAACCATTTTAGGACAACTAAAAAAGGAAATTTTGCAAATCAAATTGGGACGGAGGGAGTAAGAAAATTTAAAAGCCAATGCATATCCCAGTCAACAAAGTTAACCAGGAAACCGGGATGTCACCGCCTAAAAAGCCATTTTGAATCTTTTATGTGTTCGTGGGTTTAATTGAGTGTTATTTAAGTTGGTGGACTTAATTGTTTCTTATTTAATTTCTTCATGAATAAAACTTGTTCTATTTCAACTTTAGATGAAAATATGTGATATATCCAGATTAATAAGACTCACATGAACATCCTCAATTTTGAAAAGATGGAAGTATATATGTGTACATTAGGTACATCATGTACATACTCACTAATTATACAAAAAATGTAAACATTTGAAAACGTATAGAATGTGATAAGTAGGTAGGGCATGAGAAGTAAAATTAGAGGAGGGAGCAAATATAAAGTTCATTAAGAGCTCCAAAGTTTTGATTGAAATGGCTGGATTAGTTTATTCTATTTATATATGAAAAAAATATATTTAAATATGTTTTATTAATATAATAAAGAAAAAATTAAATGAACTATTAGTTAATATTATCTCTCTACCGTAACTTCAACCAATTTGGTCTGAAAAGTAACTGCAACGTTCCTTACTTTGATTATTATACAATTCAAAACACGAAATCAAACTGATGGACAGTG